GAAGGAGCTGAGTTCATTAGAAGTGGGTGGCTTCTTTTCCCCTTGATTTTTATGGCTAAAGAACTTTTTGATGGCTCTGCCTTAAGTCTTTGTGTTGACTCAGTGGGGTGGATCTGTCTGTGGGGTCTCCTCTGCAGGACACCAGTGTGAAAAGCAGCCCTGGGCTTGTGCCTTGGCTGTACCAAAAACAGGCATTGCCAGGTCCCACCATGTGAGCACAACTATTCCTTCACAGGAGGTGAAGACACGGACATTTCTTGTTGGCTTGTATCGTAGAATCATAGAATGTTTTGGGTTGGAAGGGACTGTCAAGATCATCTTGTTCCAGTTCACACCTTCCACTATCCCAGGTTGCTCCAAGCCCCGTCCAACCTGACCTTGAGCACTTCCAGTGATGGGGCAGTCACAGCTTCTCTGGGCAACCTGTGCCAGGGCCTCCCCAGCCTCACAAGGAGGAATTTTTCCCTGATATCTGCTCTAAACCTGCCTTCCTTCAGCTTAAATCCACTACCCCTTCCTTCCCATGTGGGATTGCTCTTGGAGCAACCTGGGTTTGTGGAAGGTGTCCCTGCCCATGGCAGGGGAATTGGAACTGGCTGGTCCTGAAGGTCCCTTCTGACCCAAACCATCCTGTGATTCTCTGAGCAATGGGTGTCTTGCAGGGCTGTCAGGTCATGACTTTTCCCACCCCACGTCTGCCCTTGTTGCATCTTCCTTTGCCCTCCCAGCTCTTCCCTCCTTTGCCTGGGATTGCACTCACTCTTTCTCTGCTCCTCCTGGTGGCACTGATGAAAAGCAGGATTGAACTGTGTGTTTTGCCCTCAACTTTTCCTGTTAACAGCAAAAACTACTGAGTTTCAGTTCAACCCTGAAGTCCAGACTTGCCTTTCTTTTCTGGTTCAAATCTACATCTTCAACCTGATGTAGAGTTGAAGATTTACAGCAGGAGGTTCTTTTTTTGTGGCTGAAAAGTCATATAGAACAAAGACCTGAGCTTGGAACGAGCTTTCTTGAGCATGAAAACTCTTGGAGAACGGATGAAATTATAATTTCCCTCTCTGTGGACTTCCAAGCATTTTGGGAAGGTCGAAGTATCCTTTTCCCTCCTTCATCCTTTGAAATGATGACCTTACTTATCCTCACGTAACTTGAGAGGAAATTGAGGCACCGATTTGTTAAAAAAACAAGATAAAATCAGATATTTATAGAAAGAGCAAAGTAGGCAGAATTTTGACATTTATATGCAAGAACCTTTTTTTAAAAAGGCTTGTTTGACTTGTCTGTGAGCTTGAAACGTCTTGGTCCTCACATTCTGGTGTCTACAGCTCATTATTCACCTAATCCTGAGCTAATGAGAAGTGAAAGCACCAACCACAGTAGATGAGACCCAGATGAAATGGTCTTGCCGTGCCAATAAATTTGAGCTTCATGAGGCATTTGAGCTTCCAAGGGATGGCACAGAGGAACAGCTGTGACTGCACAGTCAGCTCTCATGTGACCAGCTCATAAAAGACCGAAAAGACCTTTGTTGTCACACATATTGAACTTTCTGGTGGGGAAAAAAAAAAAAGCTCATTTCTAGTGGAAGACAGTTCAAAACAACAAACTTTAGTCTCAAACTGGAATTTTTTTTTATTTATCTTGGTTGCAAGAGACAAAATTCAAAGAAAATGTCACTTGTGAGTGAAAGGAATAAGAAAAGGTTGCCTTTTTCTCATGTGGCATTAAAATATCATAACCTAACTCAGTTTAATACACACAGCAACCAAAATATCTCTATTAAATGACTAATGAAATGATTAATTAAAAAGGGGGGTTTCACACAAGCTGGAGACAGGAGGTCACCTGTCTGGGGACAGATAATCCCAGTGTCCTGATGCCAAGCAAGAAATCCTGGGAGAGCTGTCTGCCTCACTGCCCTGGGGTTTGTTGGGGTGGCTGACCCACACCAGTCTGTTGGTAGGTCTTTCCTTTCCTTTTTCCATGTATTTTCATGGCCACTGCATTGTCACCTCCATGGAGAAGAGGATGGTGCATGGATGATCATTAACTGCAGGATTTAATTGCTGTGCTGGAAAGCAGGAGCCAGGAGGGCTCAGGAGATGGGTCATAAATCAAATGTGAGTGGTGAACGTGGGACCGAGGGTTTCAGGGGAGATGAAAAGGTCAGTCCATGTCCTGAGATCCTCAAACACCATCCTGAGAAGCTCAACATTGCTCAGCAATGAGTATTTGCAAACCAGATACCAACTGGATCCTGGGAAGAAGCACAATCAGCAGGTTGAGGGAGGTGATTCTGCCTCTCTATTCTGCTCTCATGAGAACTCATCTGGAGGAATGCCCAGCTCAGGGGTCCTCAACACAGGATAGGTGTGGAGGTGTTGGAAGAAGTCCAGAGGAGGCCATGGGGATGCTCCAAGGGCTGGAGCCCCTCTGCTCTGGAGCCAGGCTGGGAGAGCTGGGAGTGTTCACCTGGAGGAGAAAAGGCTCCAGGGTCTCCCTGGAGCCTTTTCTCCTCCAGGTGAACACTGGAGCCCCTTCCAGAGCCTAAAGGGGCTCCAGGAGAGCTGGTGAGGGACTTGGGACAAGGGATGGAGGGACAGGACAAGGGGGAATGGCTTCAAACTTGCACAGGGCAGGGTTAGATGGGATATTCAGAAGAAATTCTATCCTATAAGAATGGTGAGGCCCTGGCACAGGTTGCCCAGAGGGGTTGGGGACTCCCCATCCCTGGAAGTGTTCAAGGTCAGGCTGGATGGGGCTGTGAGCAACCTGGGATACTGGAAGGTGTCCCTGCCCATGGCAAGGGGGTTGGACTGAGATGATCTTTAATGCCCCTTCCAACCCAAACCGTTGCGTGATTCTATGAAAATATTTTGCAATTCCCACCAGCATTTCTTAGTTCTTTAAAGTATAAATTTAAGAAATGGTTAAAATTGTTAAAGATAGAGGTGTACTAATAAAAACATAAAAAAACCCCAAAACAAAACAGAAAACAAAAACAAAACAAAGAAACAAACAAAAAAAACCAAACTAAACCAAAAAAACCACAAAGGAAATATTACTATAAGGGAAAGTCTCCCAAAACAGGGTTATAGGAAGGAGCATTTCTTGGACAAGTAACAGGGATTAATCCTATAGTTTCTCTGCCCATTTTCAGGCCCTAATTTTATCATTGTCTTGGGCTGGCTTGAAAAAACAAATCTCTCAGCAAATTATATTGCCATGAACATGTCTGCCACCCAACTACCATCCCCATGATATCCAAAGGGATGGGACACAAACCTTGTGAGATATGGTGAGATGTCATGAGCAGTAACTGGAGCCAGGGACGTGTGGACATGAGGGGACACACCTTGCAGGTCACTGCATAAGTGGGGATGGAGTTGAGTCTCCATTTAATGGAGAATTTCAGGAAAAGTTTGTGCTAAAATCTCTCACGCTGGATTGGGAAGCACTGAAGTGCAAGGCTGACCCTTCGAGTTTTTGTTTGCCTTTAAAGCAAAAATCAAGCTTTACAGTGAGATCAGGAGTTGGCCTGTAAGACACTGATGATTTACTAATTATTCTGTAATTTACACTTAATTTACTGTGGCTGAAGCCCCTTCTCTGGGTTCTTCCTTGCCTTATTTCTGGGACAAGCTGGAATGATAAAGAAGAAAAATAACCTGTATTTACAAATGACTCACAGGGCAGTTATGAACATGAATCACGTGTGAAAAACTAGGGGAAGTTGGGTTGTGTAGGATGAACCTGCAGGAAAAGTGGGAAACTACAGAATCTTTGAAAAGGTTGGTAGTTGCACTGTGCGTGCATGTGTTTATTTATATATATATATGTGCCTGTGTATATAAAATGTGTGTGCATATAGGTATATATTGGAATTAATAAGTTAAAGTCTAAACTTCTTCCCATTTCTGAAAGTAAAAATCAGCTGATTTACAAATCAGCTGACCTAGGATGAGTCTGAGTTCTCAGATCTGGGTTTTCTGGTTGCTCTGTCTCGCAAAAGATAAACTGTGAATGTTCACACCGAAGTTTCAGCTCCAGTCAAATCCTAAAGGATGGAATATTAAATTCCTGAGTTTCAGATGCACTTATTAGTGGGACTGATGAGTTTGCAAAGCTTTGTGAAATAGTTGGATGTGATGCTGTTTCACTGGATCAGGAGAGAGAATTGTAATGAGAGCAAAGTCCTTATCCAAGCTGGGAGCTTGTTGGGAATGTCACAAACTCTCACTCAGGAAAAATGGATTCAGCATGAAATCCATGAAGGAAAAGCAAGGACTGTCAGAGCTAAGAAGAGATTCTTTAAATAGAAAAGACTAGAAGAGTTTGGCTTGAGCTGGAAGCTGAGTAGGAGTTGTGCCTGGTCTCCAGACTCTGCCTCTAGACAGGCAGAAGGAAGGAGGAACAATTATTGTAGCTGCAGGATAAAGCTGGCACTGGGACAAAGAGCTAAAAACTCATCTCAGATGAATGTTGACTGGAAAGGCAAAACATTTCTAAGCATCAAAGCCAAAGGAGGGTTTGGAACAGCCTCCCAAAACAGCCAGCAGGGTTGGGGTGGGGTGAGATCCATGTTGGGGCAGGACTATGAAGGAGCCACAGAGTTGAAGGTGCAAGAGGCTCTGTCTGGTGATTCATCAGTCTGAGAAAACACCTTGGCAACTAATGCCAAAAGAGGAGACTTTAGGTTAGATGTTAGGAAGAGATTCTTCCCCATGAGGGTGGTGGGGCCCTGGCACGGGTTGACCAGAGAAGCTGTGGCTGCCCCTGGATCCCTGGAATTGTCCAAGGCCGAGTTGGACAGGGCTTGGAGCAGCCTGGGTTAGTGGGAGGTGTCCCTGCTCATGGCAGAGGGTTGGAATTCCATGATCTTTAAGATCCTTTCCAACCCAAACCATTCTGTGATTCCATGATTCTACGACTCTATGGTTCTATGGTTCTATGGATCTATGGTTCTATGGTTCTATGGTTCTATGACACTTGCTCTGTCCTTCTCACACTCACACCTTCTCCCATTCTGCCCCGTGTACTTCCACCAGATCTACACAACTGGAACATCAGGTATCAGGAAAAAATTCTTCCCTGTGAGGATGGTGAGGCCCTGGCACAAGTTGCCCAGAGAAACTGTGGCTGCCCCATCCCTGAAAGAGATTATTTGAAGTGTACAAACATTCATTGAAAGAGTGATTAAACATGAGATAGGCTGTCCAGGGAAGGGGTGGAATCCCCACCCCTGGAATTGTTCAAAAAACAAGTAGATGTGACACTTGGGGACATGGTTTAGTGGGAATGGTGATATTGGGTGGAAGGTTATACTTGATGATCCTGGAGGTCTTTTCCAACCTTGATGATTGTATGATTTGAAGGCCACAACTTCCCCATTCACAACTTTAATATGCTTACAGAAAATAAATATTGCACCAGTGTTTTCACCATATTTTATTGGGATTTTATAATATTACTTTTTAAAATAAGAATCTAAATTCAGTTTATAATTTTTAAGGATGCTCTTAGCTATGCCAGCAATAAAAATCTCTTATTTGTGGAAGGTCTGGGTAAACATTTCCAGGGTGCTCCAAAGCACAGTGGGTTTGTGTCTTCGGGGAGCATCCAAAGTAGTCTCAGCCCAGCCTCTAAAGGAACCAGAAAACTTCAACAACTCCTGCAAACCAAACAGTTTTAAAGAATTTCCCCCAAGGAAGACAAGAGTAAAAGCGACTCACTTAAGGAGACTCATCTGCATGTTGGAGGACATTCCAAGAGTCCAACCTGGGGAGGGTGGAGATGGTGGTAAATTGGCTTTTCCATCACAGTGGTTCCAAGAGGACAAGAAGTCTTTTGCAATCATTGAATCGTAGAATGATTTGGATTGGAAGGAATCTTAAAGATCATCTAGTCCCACCCTCTGTCATAGGGAGGGACATCTTCCACTAGACCAGGATTTAAATATCATTGGAAGCCTGTAACAGGAATTAGAGTGGCCTTCATAGAGTCATTGAATCATGGAATCGTGGAAAGGTTTGGGTTGGAAGGAACCTTCAGGATCATCCAGTTCCAACCCCTTGCCATGGGCAGGGACATCTCCCACTATCCCAGGTTGATCCAAGCCCCATCCAACCTGGCCTTGGACACTTCCAGGGATGGGGCAGCCACAGCTTCTCTGGTCAACCTGTACCAGGGCCTCACCACCCTCACAGGGAGGAATTCCTTCCCTATATCCCATCTATCCCTATTCTCTGGCAGTGGGAAGCCATTCCGTGTGTCCTGTCACTCAATCTCTTGTCCCAAGTCCCTCTCCAGCTCTCTTGGAGCATCTTTAGGCACTGGAAGGGGCTCAAAGGCCTCCTTGGAGCCTTCTCTTCTCCAAGCTGAACACCCCCACATCTCCCAACCTGGCTCCATGGGATCAGTTGGTTAAGACAAAAGCTGAAAAAGTAAAATCTGAATGATCCAAAAATCAGGTGGAAGGAGCAAGAGTCACTCCCTGTGGGGAAAAACCCAAGTAATTCGGTTGTCATTTTTTTTCTGGGCAGCAGTTACATCCATCCCTTGTGTTCAAAAACGTGTTTGTGGGGAGAAGAACATTTCCATTCCTGTATCTATTTGTTGTTTCCTGAAGGGAAAAAAAAAAGTTATGGATAGAGGTTTTCATAGCCCAAAGCTTCGCTTTCATCATCTTGAAATAGGGGAGGGAGAAAGGTAGAGATGTTAGGTCTGTTTTCCTTTTTAGTGTGTGTATTTGAGGGGTTGATGAACAACTCTTGGAGTGTGGAATAAAATATCCACCATCATGAGGCCTTTTTTTTCCAAACACTGCAGAAAGTCATGGGATATTCCCTATTTGCAAACAAGAAACAACAACTTGATGAAACTCCCTAGAAAACATCTTTTCCAAGGCACTGACTAAGAGGGATCTTCCCTCAGCTATGATTCCAAGGAAACCTGTGACTGCTGGAGGAAATAATGATTTTACAGGGATGGAAAATGCCTTTTTTCCTCAAAGTTTTCATGCAAAAGGTTTGTATCTGTCAGAACTCTTCGAGTTTTAATTAAAACCTGTAAAGTCTGAGAACTGGATTAAATATATTTTGGAAAAAGAGAATTTTCAAGTTTTAAAGGTGAGAAGTTTTTATTTTTTAGCAGCTCTATCCAAAAAACTATTTCGTTCTTTTAACATCTGAAGACATTCTGGGTGAAAAATGTGAGGAATTATAGAAGGAAGTTTTTTTGATGGAAAACTAGGAATCCTCTGTAAAGAAGGATTGTGTTCACAGAATCACAGAATATACCAGGCTGTAAGGAACCAAATAAAATTAATTCAGCTTTTCTCTCTCACATTTTTCTTTTAATTCTGAATCCTTTTGATATGGAGAAACCTCCAGAAGTATAAGCTGGATTTGCATATTCTTTCTTCTGTTTATTTGCAGAAATGAAATCTGGGTGACAAGCATTAAAAGTGACAAATTAGTAAAGAAAACAACCCAATGTTCTTTCCACTCTCTATAAATAAATCCTGGGGATATGGAAAGGAAATCTGTGAAATCATTCACTGTAAATATAAGTTCAGGGCAGTGAACAGAAAGGAAAATTTAGATCTAATCCAGCATATGCCCATTGACAGGTCTCCATGGGAAGATCTCCGTGTTAAGCAGAACCAGCTTTGACGGGAATTCACCATAAATGACACCCCAACATATGTTAAAATATAAATTAATGCAGCAGAAATAGAGACAGAAGATCACTGTGACACCAGATTTTCCCAAATCCTCTTCTCTTCACTGATTAATATGTTAATTATGGAGTGAGAACACAACAGCTGTGAATAATGTTTCTATAATGTGCCAAATCATGACCTGCTCCATCCCTGGAAGTGTTCAAAGCCAGGTTGGACAGGGTTTGGAGCAACCTGCTCTGGTGGGAGGTGTCCCTGCCCACGGCAAAGGGTTGGAACAAGCTGATCCGTAAGGTCCCTTCCAACCCAAACCATTCTGTGATTTTCCAGTGTACCAATTGCTAATTCCACCACATTTAGGGAAGACAATAGGACTCAGAGGTCAGTGCCACTCCAGGACAACCAGAATGCACAAAAACCAAGGGTTGGGTCTTTGAGGAGCAACACTGGAACAACTGATGGTGCTACCCAGGGAACAGCTCAGCAAACTGGGGTGGGGAATTCGGGAAAAAATTCTTATTGGAAAGGGTTGTTAAGCAGTGGGAGGTGGTGGAGTCCCCATCCCTGGAGGTGTCCAAGGAAGGCCTGGAAGTGGGACTCAGTGCTCTGGGCTGGGTGACAAGATGGTGATGGGGCACAGGTTGGACTCAATGACTTGGAGGTCTTTTCCCACCTTAATGATTCTGGGATTCTGTGAATTGGGTTCCTGATGGCCACATTAAAATTCTCCAGAGCCAACACCAAGAAAAATTCATGGATTTTATTGTGACAGAGTTACAGGAAGAGCAAGACCATGGGGAAAATGGCCACAGTGTTTACTTTTCTCATAAAACATTTCAGTACCAACATCTTTTTCAGATGAGACATAAAACTTTGAGGGCTTTGGTAGAAGGCTGAAAAATGTCAAGTGATAGTTTGGGATTGGAGTGAAGGGGAAGGAGGGGCTGTTTGCTTTGTTCTTAAAAAAAAAAAAAAAAAGGCAAATCCCCTGAAAGGAGACATTTCTCATAGAAATATCACTGCTTTGAAGCCAGTCAAAAGAGCTGTTTTTTATGAGATAAATATTGAGATCAGCCTGAAACTGAGTTTGAACAGCGAGTCTGAGATCTGCCTGAGCCACTGGAGGTTCAGTGACTCATGTGTCACCCAGGAGAAACCCCAGAGTGGGCTGGCTGGGGCTCTGAGCAACCTGGGATAGTGGAAGGTGTCCCTGCCCATGGCAGAGGGCTTGGAATGAGATGAGTTTTAAGGTCCTTTTCAACCCAAACCAGGCTGTGATTATAAAAACAACCCATTGGAGGAGAGATGTGCAGCCTTTGCTCTCCAGGGCTGCAGCACAGTCTGCTCTTAGGGTTTTAAAAATACATATTATGGTTTCATACCTGAAGCTTCCCCCTGCTCCTGGAAATGGGGAAAGGATTTCTCCTTCCCAAGGATTGCTCCCATGTCTTTATCTCCTGTGTCTTCAAACCTCCTTAAAGAGGAGGGAGAGCAAAACTATGGGCTTAACCTTGACCACATAATGTCTGGCTGCCCCCTGCAGTTAGTGGTTAATGCAGAGCCTTCGTTGTAAGAGAGTTTTAATTAACTTATTTAAACCCAGATATTTAAACCCAGCTCTCTGGAGACCCTGCTCTGCATGCACTGACCAGGTCAGTTCTCAGCCTCCTCCTCAGAGCAGGAAACAGCCTGAACTGCCTCAAATCCTGGGATCAGTTTTGGGCCCTTCAGGACAAGAAAGACATGGAGAGACTGGAGTGTGCTCAGGGAAGGGAACGGAGCTGGAGAAGGGGCTGGAGCACCAGAAGCAGCTGAGGGAGCTGGGGGGGCTCAGCCTGGAGAAAAGGAGGCTCAAGGGGGATCTTCTTGCTCTCTAAAACTCCCTGACAGGAGGGGGGAGCCAGGGGGGATCAGGCCCTGCTCCCAGGGAACAAGGGACAGGAGGAGAGGAAACATCCTCAAGTTGCACCAGGGAAGGTTGATATTGGAAATTAAGAACAATTCACTGAAAGGGTTGTCCAGTCTTGGCCCAGCTGCCCAGGGTAGTGGTGGAGTCCCCATCCCTGGAGGGATTTAAAAGCCATGTGGCTGTGGCACTTGGGGACATGGGTTAGTGGTGGCCTTGTCAGTCCTGAGTTAATTGTTGGACTCGATGATCTTGGAGGTCTTTTCTGACCTTAATGATTCTGTAATTCCATATTTCCATGTGATGTTTATCTGTAGCACATGAGCCTGTGGTTAAGAGCAGCTGCAGTTCACCTATTTCTCATGTGACCAGTGTGGAGTTTCCCCAGTTTTGCTGACCAAGAACACACAAAAAATGGACATTACCCTCTTTTCTCTTTTCATCACAAAAAAGACCCATTTTCCAGACAATTGCAATATCATTCCTGTTTTTTTCCATGCCCTGTAAGCTCTGAAAATGCAAAGGATACCCAGGAAAGCTGCCATGGTTCACTTGTGTGGGATGAAATGGTAGAGGAAAAGGTATTTAAAAAATGAGAGCAGAAGTTGTGGGGGATGGGAGGTCTCAAAAGGACTGGAGCTGATTCCTCTCCTGGCTCTTAGTTGAGATCTGAAAAATCTCTGTGGGTTAATGAGGAGCAGTCACGTTGAAATGTCCCTTATGTACATGACAATTTAAGACACCACCTGTCTGGAGAAAAATATTATGGGATATCAATGTCCAGTGTCTGAAAATCACAAAGGAAGAGAAATTTTCATGCAGACTGAAGAGCAAGAAGGAGTTTTCTGGATGGTGAAAGTCTTAAAAATGCGTTGGATACCTAAACAGGCTACAAAGAGAAAAACTATGGAAGAAACAATCAGAAGAGAGTGTAAAAGAGAAAAATTAAGGAAGAAAAGAGAAAAATTAAAGAAGAGAAAAATTAAGAAACAATTGGAAGACAGTGTTTAATTCCCAACTACTTCAAACCATCATCCCAGGAACTATCAGAGCACCTGGTTGACCAGCAAGAGCATTCTTTTCTCTAATTAATTTACTTTTAAAGATCAGTTAATTGATTTTAGATCCTGGTTTGGTTGGCTTTGATCCTTTAATTGCATCTCTTCATGTTCTGGAAGTGTAGTTTTGCTTTCTTCAGAGATTTCCCTTCAAGAGTTGCATTTAGTACAGGATGTTTATATTATATATATGTTTTATTTATATTTAGCACAGGCTTAGTGGGATTGCAACAGGGAGGTGTCACTTAAAATGCTCTGGGCTAATCACAATCAATGTTTTGGACCATGTCTTTAGTTTTTTGGGGGTTATTTTATCTGTTCCATACATAAGAAAAGTCTAAAGACAGAGATCTCAGGATGGATGGCCCAGACTTTTCATTTTATGTCACCAAAGTCTACCAAAAATCCATATTCCTCAAAAGCCCAACTCACACAGCCAAAAAATCATCAGGAATTGAGACACAAAGGCAAATTTCCAAGCTTGTAAGAAGTGTTATGTGTGTTAACTCCTCCTGCACCACTATTCATATCCTCACAAAAATCCTAAAAATAAACGTAGAGAACTCAGATGTGTAACAGGAGGAGTTGATAAAACAGGTATGTAAAAGCCTTTTTTGGAACAAAGGGAACAGTCCAGAGGGCAGATCCATGGAGAATGGCCCAGGAAACGACATAAGATTGGAAGTTCCCAAAATCTTTTCCTCAGGAAGGCTCAGGAATTGATTGTTGTGGGAAGTGCTCAGTGTGGGAAGAACAGCAACATTCCTACCCAAGTGGATCAGGGTGGACCCAGGTGGAACTGCCCATTTCTTATGGCAAAACCTGGGATAACTGACCTTAGGAAGTCATGGAGTCAGGGAATATCCTGAGTTGGGAGGGCCCACAAGGATCATCCAGTCCAACTCCTGGCCCTGCACAGACACCCCAACAATCCCACCCTGTCCCTGAGAGCATTGTCCAAATTCTTCTGGAGCTCTAGCAGGTTTGGGGCTGTGCCCATTCCCTGGGGAGCCTGTTCAGTGCCCAACCACCCTCTGGAGGAAGAACCTGTTCCTTTCCATCTCTGTGAATTTTATTATCAAAGTTCAGCTTTGATTTCCCTGCTGCTTTGATCACTCTCAGCCTTCCAAAACAATTTTCCGTGCTGTACCCCTGTGAAAGCTGAGAGATCTCATTCCTCCTTCCCAGTGAAGAGCTGATGGGGGCAGGAGGTCCTACTGACACACTGATTTTCCTCAGCAAAACTAGTGAATTTGCCTAATTTTTTTTAACCTGTGGATCATGGAATTGTCACCTCAGGCTTTTGTGTTTGTTCAAGGAGAGGAATCCAGCCCAAAGACACCGTAAGAATTCACGGAGCATGTGAAACCAGACCAGTCACAGGGGTAGAACTGAGCCTAAATGCTGCATATTTTTCATTTTCCCAGCCTAAAAAATCAATAATCCATATCTGGAAAATATTAGGAGGGCTTTCTTTTATCAACAAATGGTGGGTCCTTCTTGCAGATGCAATATTTTAGGTTAATTCATCCACCATCAGCAGGATTTCTTCTCCCTGCTCTCTCTCACTCTTGAGAATTTTAACACTTCCTAGTGTCTGTATTTATAATTCTTATTTATCGGGGTTGAATGCCTTCAAATTTCCCCAAAATTCTCTTGGGTAACTAGAAAAACGGTGAAGTTCCCAAACAACAATCATTTTGCATTTCTCATTTTCTTAACATCTGGCACCTGGGGAAGAAACACTCCATCCATATCTCCCTCAAAGATGTCAAGAATAATCTTTTTTTATATTTTGAGGTTCTTTTTTTTCTATTAATAACAAAAAAAAATAGTTCAGTAACCATAATTTCTTGTCTGATTTATTCCAAGGACCAATTTAACCTGAGTGTCCCAGTTTGTGTTCTCATCTATTCATATCCTTCTGTTCCACTCTGAAGTCTACTGGGAGAGATCTGTGGCAACATCCATTGCATCACGGCAATTTCCCGCTCTGGGAATTCCTTGGAATGGCTCAGAATGGTGTAATATTCCTGAGCATGTTGCTCTGATCCCATAAAACCAGAGAGAGGCACCTGCCAGCAGGTGGGATTCCCTGTTTGCTGGGATGTTTATTACCTGGCACCTTTCCTAGACTGTCTATATTTAATTCAGGATGTTCTCCTTCAATTCGCTGGCGTGAAATAAAGTCCACAAAGCATCAAGACACAAAGAGAAATGTAGAACTTCATTTTCTGCAAATAACCACCCTCATTTGTGCATTTGGGGAGCACTGGGTGCTCTCAAAGCAATAAAACCCAGGAAGACTTGGTAAACCAAGGTATCTTGGGGTGCAACAATTGTGGGTTTGCCAAAATTGTCACTCAGTGGTAACACCCAGCAGTGCCAATGACACACAAAGAAGACGAAACACAACTGGGATCACTAAAAATAACACTCTCCTGTAAATGCCAGACTTATTGCCTTTGTAGGAAGGACAAAACAAGCCTCTGAAGGCACCGTCCTTCTCAGTCGTCTGGACAAAGCAACCAGGGGGATATTTTTGTTTGGTTTGATGTTTGTTTGGAGTAAAACCAAACTGGAACAGGAAAACTGCTGCTTGTTTGGACAGTGGCTTGGTTAGAGAGAGGCACAAGGAATAGATCCTTTGGGCAGGTTAAATCCTCTTACTTGTGGGAAGTTGTCAGAATAAAATTGTTTGGTTTCAAAAAGAAGCCTTCATGAAGGCCGGGTCCCCCAGAACATTTTGGGGGAGGCACTGGAATAGGTTTCCCAGAGGAGCTGTGGATGTCCCTTCCCTGGAAGTGTCCAAGGCCGGGTTGGATGGAGCTCTGAGAAACCTGAAAGGTTGTAAAAGGGAGTGAAAGGTGTCCCTGCCCAGGGCAGGGGGTTGGAACTGGTTGATCTTGAAGGTCCCCTCCAACCTAAACCCTTTTATGATTCCATGATTTTAATCTAGGGAAGGACACAGAACAGCGAATCCTGGCCTGTGATGGTCCATCCTGTTCCATTCTGGAATGTTTGGCCTGTGCCAATGGGAATTCACCCAGGACAAACCCAGTGTGTGGTTTGGAGAACAGCACAGGCCAAGGACTGTGTCCAGTAGATATTTTGGATACAGTCACCTTCTTTTGGGAGTTTGGGAATGCAGACACAAGCTGAGCTGAGCAGTGTCCTGAGGGACTGGAAAGAATCCTGTGACATACAACCTCATGTTCAGAGGTACAGTTGTCTCCCCCTTTCCATATGTTTGCCCTCACAATACACTGGTTTACAGGGAGAAGTCCCCTTTTCAGGAATGCAGGTGGTGGTTTATCTGATTTTTATGGGTTTTTCATACCACTATAACTCAATTCAATGGACTCCCAAATAAATCCTCTGGTTTTAGCACTTCCCAAGGCTGTAGAGTGTTTTTCAGTTCCCATAACCCCGACAAAAGCTCTGACTCTTTGTTTCCAGGGTTTTCTGAGGAGGGGACACCAACGATTCAGGGAAGGCTTCTCTAAGCCAGCAACCAAGAGGCAGATTCCAAAATTGAGGAGTTGCATCTCCTTGACGCCCAGGTTGTTCTGCTCCATTGGTCTGGGATGGTTTGGTCTTGAAGTTCCTTCCTCAGCCAGATGCTGCTTTTTAAAGATTTCCATTTGCAGCTTAAAAATATAGGAATATTGAAGTGAGGGCTGGGAAGAACAATCAGTTCCCAAAAGTCAGCAAAAATGTCAGAGAGGGGGAAGAAAGGGAAAGAAAGGAAGGGAGGAGGGAGGAGAGGAAGGAAGGAAGGAATGAAGGAAAAGAGGAAGGAGGGAAGGAAGGAGGAAAGGAGGGAAGGAGGGAAGGAAGGAGGGATGGAAGGAAGGAAAGAAAGAAAAAGAAAGAAAGAAAAAAAAAGAAATAAAGAGAGAAAGAAGTAGCGAGAGAGAGAGAAAGAAAGAGAGAAAGAGAGAAAGAAAGAAAAAAAGAAATTAAAAGACTTATGGATAAAATGAAAGGCTGCCTCCATAATCCTGCAGGAACCAAAGCAATTACTCCAGGGAATCATTATTTTTCCATTAGACCAAAGGAAAAATTTCACCTGCTGGTGTCTCCCAGGGGCTGGGGCATGAAAAAAATGAGCCTCTGTTACAACATAAGTGAAATTAAATAAAGAAAAAGCAAAGCTCACAAAATCTACCAATTAAGAGCCAACACAAATGTACTGAGCAATTCAAATGGAGATATTTATATAAACAAACTCACAAACACATAAACTTTTCTTTAAGCAAACAGGTCTAGTGGAAGGTGTCCCTGGGGTTGGAACTGGATGACCTTTAAGGTCCCTTCCTACCCAAACCATTCTGTGATTCTACAAACTTTAAGGCACAGGCCAGTTTGGAGAGGCCCTTCAGTGCCAGTGTGATGAGGCCTGGGTCAGAGAGAGCTTTCAAGTGGATTTTACCCAAAATTTGAATTAAAGTGAGTACAAAAACCCCACACATCTGTCTTTGCATCTGTAAATATTTTCTTTTGGGAATTCCAGCTACATAAATGTGCTGTTTCAAGAAAGGTCTTTGGGTGTGCTGGGGAAAAGGAGAAAAAAATATTTTAAAGCAAAATTATTCTTTGATTACTGTGTTAGAAAACAGATCCATTTCTCCCATCATTAGTCCAGCACTTTCCAGGGTTTTCTGCCTTGCAACAAAACTGCATTTTGGGGTCCCTGAGGAAAAGCCTCTTCTCTTCTATATTTCATGAGATTTGGTCACACATTTCTGTGAGTTCCCCTGTTTTCTGACTTTCCCGCCTGACCAAATGTCCCCCGTTTTATCTTTGTTTTCAATGTGTAGCTGGAAGTGGAAGGTTATCTTGTCAAAGAGCTCAGCACAAAATCAGTTAAACCAACTGCTTTTCTTCCAACTTCTCTGCCCCAAACTTCCTAAGAACCATAAGCACAATGAAGAAAAAAAAGGAAGACAGGAATTGCTTTTTCACAACAGGGACTCGTAACATTCTTTAACATAACAACCAGCAATTTTTTCAGTATCATTTTTGCAGTTACTGTGTTGCTGCAGTGGCTTTGGGTTTTTAGACACTTAAAAATAAGTATCAGTTTTAACTATTTATGTCCTGGTTGATATCACACAGTTTTGGCTCATTCACTGTCAGGTAGGGTGGGATGTTGTCTCTTTTTCCAATGGATGGGTTTTCTGGTAATTATTTCTCAAGTAAAATTTCATGGGTTTGCAGAAGAAAAGATTGTGGTTGACAACTTGTGGTTAAGAACTGGTTGATGGCCAGGACCAGAGAGTGGTGGGGAACTGCATCCAATTGGGATACGGTCACCAGTGGTGTCCCCAGGGATCAGAGTTGGGCCCAGTTCTGTTTAATGTCTTTATTGATGATTTAGATGAGGGGATCGAGTGAACCATCAGCAAATTTGCAGATGACACCAAACTGGGGGGGAGTGTTGATCTGCTGGAAGGCAGGAGGGCTCTGCAGAGGGACCTGGACAGGCTGGATCCGTGGGCTGATTCCAACAGGATGAGGTTCAACAAGGTCAAGGGCCGGGTCCTGCACTTTGGCCACAACAACCCCTGGCAGCTCCACGGGCTGGGACAGAGTGGCTGGAGAGTAGCCAGGCAGGAAGGGAGCTGGGAGTGTGGATGGACAAGAAGCTGAACAGGAGCCAGAGTGTGCCCAGGTGGCCAAGAAGGCCAATGGATCCTGGCCTGGATCAGGAACAGTGTGGCAGCAGGAGCAGGGAAGGGATTCTGCCCCTGGGCTCAGCACTGGTGAGGCCTCACCTGGAGTGCTGTGTCCAGCTCTGGGCCCTCAGCTCAGGAAGGACATGGAGGGGCTGGAGCAGGTGCAGAGAAGAGCAACGAGGTTGGGGAAGGGACTGGAGCACAATTCCCGTGAGGAGAAGCTGAGGGAGCTGGGGGGGCTCACCTTCCCAACACTGGCCTGAGTTACCCTTTTTGTCCCTCTTGAAGACAGGAGAGACGTTTGCCTCCCTCTGCTCCCAGGAATCTTCCCTGACCACCACAACCTTTCAGGGGTAAGTGAGGTGACCTTGCAATGACATCAGTACCCACAGATTCATCCTGTCATGGCCCATGAATTCTACATGTCTGGTTTGTCTTATTGTTCCCCAACTTGATTCTCCTCCACTGAGGATAAATATTCCTTACTCTGGTCCAGGAATTTCTGAAGGCTGATCTTATCAGTAAAGACTTAAGTGAAGAAGACCTTGAGTACCTGGACCATTTGCATGCTCTTTGTCCAGAATTCCTACCCTGTTGAGCAGCAGGCCCGCATTTTTCCTACTCTTCCCATTAATATGCCTGTAGAAAATTGTCTTGTTGTCCCTCACCAGATTTAATTCCAGATGGGCTTTGATTCCCTGCTCCAGCCTCATCCATCAGCTCTTTTTCAGTGGTTTCTTCTGCAGATGGAGCCACATGGAGATCTCCAACACAGGGGAACGTCACCCCAGTGCCAGAGCTCACATTTGTTGGCCCATCTCACCAGGCTTTTTGCAGCTCTGCCAGCTTCCACTACATATGGAGTCTTCTTCCATGGGAAAACATGGAATTGTTTTGTCCCAATAAAGGCAGGAATCCTCACTTCAGGGAATTTGGAGGCAGATGAGTTTTTGATGTATCCCACCAAGAGGTCACAGACTTCAAAAGAAGGGTTGGAATTGGTGTTTCACCATGGGATGGAATCACAAGAGTGGTTTCTTCTGGGTGAATGTTCATACAAAGACCTGTTGGGGTTTAAGACACCTCAGATACAACAAGAAAGAAACCTGTGACACCTTAAATCCCAAAAATAGGGTTCTCAGGCAGAGGAAAGGCTGGGAAGTTGAAGGGGCAGGATATTTCCCTTGGTTTTCTTTTTAAATATCTTGTTAAAAAAAAGCTCCAGTTCATATTTTTAGGGGGGATAAAGATTCCTGTGTCAGGACTTCAAGGCTCAGTCAGAGCTTTGGGCTCTGTCTGAGGCTTCTCAGAGTCCATTTGATGGATTGTCCCTGGAAATCACTTTCCCTTCACCAGTGATTTCACCTGAAGGTCCCTTTCCTATATAATAATAATAATAATAATAATAATAATAATAATAATTATTATTATTATTATTATTATTATTCTTGAATCCCTGACCTTTATTCTTTCCAAGATTCAATTCCCCAACTCCATGAGGAGCCAAAAGAGTCTTTCCCTTGCTTCTCCCAGGAATTCTGCTTTCCCAGGATGTCATTTCCCAGTATAACTTCTGTGACTTCTATCAAGGACTGTTAACACCTCCGACTTGGAAAGTCACTGAATTTAAGATTGTTGAACACTGGTTATAAGTTCCTCATATTTTTTTTCCCAGTGTTTATATTTCTCCTGGATATCTGCAGTTGCTCATTGGATCCTGGAGACAGGATTCTGTTCCCAGATAACTCTTATGTTTTATACTATCCAGATCTTGAATGACAGGCTGGAAAGACATGTTAAATATCATAACAACAGTGTTACAATGCATATATAATATTCACAGGCACACACAGAGGCACATTCAAGTTCAATTCAGAGAGATTTCCCGAAGGAAAAATCAGTTCCTTATACTCTGATTTATTCTGATGCCTTATTCCTTTCCATCTCCATTCATCAAGGCCTGAATGGGATACCAGCTTTAATAGCTGCTAATTAGCAATATAAACCATCCACCCTGCAAATCAACAGCAGAATAACACTGAAAAGGAAAAAAAATCCAACAAACATGTCATAATAACAGTTGGGTCCAATGATTGAAAAGGGGGAAAATGAGCTGGATTCTTAACGTTGAGAGCAATTAAGAAAGAAAGGAGAAATTACTGGTTTTCTCATGTGAATTTGAAGCAATTAAGAAGGGCACAAAATAAACCTCGGGCCTGGAATCCCTCTGACTTCCTCGTGTCAGCTCCTTGCTGTGTTTCAGGAGCAGAAGCAGAGTTGTGTGTGTGTTTATTGGCAGCTCCTGTTTGGTTTCGTGCTGGAATGGGAAAGCAAAGCTCCAACTTCCACGGATTTCCCACAAGGACAACTGGGAAGAGGAGCTACATTCTGGATTCGGTTCCTGGCCGTCGCCGTTTCAGTGGGTGCAGCTGTTTAGCTTTTGCCTGGAGGGTTGGCGTGTGCTAATTGGACAAAGAACAGTAATTAGTCAGTGTGTGTGGGAGGTGATTTGTCTGGATCCCACTACAGAGCCTCCCAGAAGGCATGGGTGCTCCAAGGGATGATATGAACACCCTTTAATTGGCCAGACCACTGGTTCAAAGAGCAGCTCCTGCTCTGGAAACACCTCAGGTTTGTGGCGCCTTCCTCCCCCTCCCCAAATCCTTCCTGCTCTGAGTGGAAGTACTGACGTCCATTTGAAAAATAGGAAATTTCCAGGGAGGGGAAAAAAGGGTCATTTCTGGGCATATCATGAGATTACACATCACAAGAGTCACAAAATCACAGAATATGCCAGGTTGGAAGGAACCCACAAGAATCATCGTGTCCAACTCCTGGCCCTGCACCCATTCCCAAGAGTCACACCATGGACCCGAGAGTAAATTCATTAGAGAAAAAAAACGTTCTAAAATCAACCAACAAGGGAATTTTAAAAAGGTGCTGCTGAGATTATTCTGACTTCAGGAAATGAACAAAATTCCTGTGAATCCAAAAGTTAAAGCCAACCAGAAAAGGGACAACTGTTTATGTGAAGCGTTTCAAGTTGGAGTCCATTTAGAAGGTATTGGAAGAAGCAAAATCCTTGTATCTGTCTGTCTGTGCAGTTCATTTCCCTCAAGAGCTTCAAAAATCCTCCTGGAACACCTTGCATCAGTTTGTGGGGAGAATCTTCCACCTCATGGGATCATAAAAGAAATATATCCCCCATCAACCAGCTTCTGCAACCCAGATTTGGCAAATATGTTATAAATTTCCTATAAAATTCCTCGTGGAAAGAATCAGTCCCCTATATATGTGTGTATAAACATATTTTTGTGTATATATAAATATGTATATGTGGATCTATGTGTGTATATACATACACACATACATATATATATATATTTAAAGTTGGGAAGGCACTGAATAAATTTTTGGGGAGATGGTTGCCCCTGCAGTGAATGTTTTTTCTGGGGAATTCAACCAATTTCCTTCTTTCCCATCAACTCCCCAGCATTTCCCCTTCATGGTCCTGTTTCTCAGGTGTCTCTAAAGTGGACTCAGAGGAGCAACCCAGGAATCAGGGTGGGCTCCTGTAAAAAGCCTTTTCCTGTGTAATCCTGTTTATTAAAAATTAGTAATTAGTCTATGGTTGATGCTGCTTTCCAAGTCAGTCACTGCAAACCAGAACTAATTTTTCTATTGTTTCTATTTAAAAACAAACACACACACACACACACACAAAAGATGATGAATCATCATCAGATATTCTGTAAAACCCCAGATATTTCTGGAAAAGGCCAGAGCCTTCCACAAAAAAAAAATAAAATAATGAAGTGTTTAAAGAAATGTTATATAATGTGAAGGTCTACAATGGAATACATTAAATTCTTAGGCAGTTCAGGCTATACTTTCCTTCACTTCCCACTGCTCCTAATAATACTCTTTGTTCCAATCTAAACCAATCTTTCTCCTTCTTTGTTGTTTGTTCCACTCTGCAAAGGCTTGTAGACAGTTCTGGTCCCCTTAGTCATAAATTAGATAAATTGCACATATTGTTTCCTTTTAATCTCATCTCCCTCCTGACTTTTTAAATGCTTGGAGTTGTTCTCCACCATCCTCTGCAGTTTACCGACACTGCCTTGATATTTTGATGTGCTCAACGAGCACGATTCCACAGTGGGAGTCAGGTACACGCTCAATCCTGGCTGCTCAGCAGTATTTTGGGGAAGAAACATCTCATTCCCGATTGCACCAGAACATGTGATTTTGACAGAGCTGTTGCAGATAGATATTGTAATTAAAGGCAAGGCTTGGCCTTTTCTGCCATGAAATTAATGGTAGGACGCAGGAAAAGGGCCTCGAGTTGTGCCAGGGGAGGTTGAGGTTGGATTTTAGGAAGCAAATATTCACTGAAAGAATGGTTGGACATTGGAACAGGCTGCCCAGGGCACTGCTGGAGTCACCAGCCCTGACCATGACACAGGAACAGCCTTCATGGTTTTGTTTTCACATTCTTTCCTTCCACAAAGTGATGTCTTTGGTTGAAAGGAAGACTTCATTTTTTCACTTGAAGCTTGAAATTCATCACTCTGCTCTCTTAATTTCTCTTCTCCTCAGCAGGAAAGGTCCTTTGGTGCTGGTACCTAATGGGAGGTGCCACCTGAGACTGCAAAAAAGTGCTGCTGGGTTGTTTTAATTAACAAAATAAAGATTCATCTGGTCTGATTTCCTTGTCTTTCAAGACAAACTGCTTTCCTGCTCTTTTTGTGCACTTCGGTTTGCCGGACTCCCCTCTTTGCCTGGGAGGCACAAGGATCTCAAGGACTTGCCACTGGTTTGGAAAACGAGTGATGGGAGAAATCCAGGCCCTGGGGTTTGATTGCAATGACCAAAAAAGAACTTGTGAAAGAGCAACCAAGGAGTTACAGCTGCTAGTCACTGCTCTGACAGAAGGGGGTAATATTTCCATCACCAGCAGCACACTGACACTACAGTGCTGTATGAAAGACTATCAATAAAAGACATCATCTCAAAGAATTTGCGGCATAAAAGTTATAAAGCCACAGATGCATCAGGAAAAACATACTCTAAGAAAGACTGTTCTGCCTCGAACTGCTACAGCTGCTGCTTTTTCACCTTGTTTAGGTTGGAAGAGGATTTCTGTGCTTCAGGGAATCGTAGAATCATTAGGTTTGGAAAAGAGCTCCAAGATCATCAGGTTCAATCTCTCAACCTTTACACTCAACCATGTTGGGAAGTGCCACATCTCCTCATTTTTGGAACACTCAGCCCATTGATCCAGCCTGTCCAGATCCCTCTGTAGGTCCTTCCTTCCCACAGGCAGGTGGATTTCAAGCCCCACACTGGCATGCTGCCCTTAGGCTCGTATCTAGCAAGCCTGGTTTTATCCCCTTCCCCTTTCAAACTCGGTTTAAAGCCCTCAAAGTCACTCCCCAACTCGTGGGACAGAATCCTTTTCCCACTTTGAGATGGTGAAACCCAGATGCCACCAGCAGATTTGGTGATCCAAAAAGCCAAAATTCTACCCGAGCCAGGAGTTAATCGGATGGGAGGGAAAAAGCCAAAATTCCATCTGAGTCAAGAGTTAATCAAGTGGGAAGGAAAAAGCCAAAATTCCACCTAAGCCAGGTGTGAATCAGATAGAAGGGAAATAGCCAAAATTCCATCTGAGCCAGGTGTGAGTCACATGGGAGGGAAAAAGCCAGAATTCCATCTGAGCCAGGAGTTAATCAGGTAGGAGGGAAAAAGCCAAAATTCCCTCTGCTCCAGGAATTAATCAGGTGGGAGAGGCTTCTCTCTTCCACCTCATCACTGTCAACCTGAACAACCAATAGTGGGCATTAATCCAAGGGCTGGACCAGAACCAGGGAGATTCCTGGGAACGCCTCCTACACTGGGAGGCAACAGAATTCCCTCAGGGATGAGTCTGGGCAGCAAACAAGTTGTCAGGAGTGGGATTCGAACCCACGCCTCCAGGGGAGACTGCGACCTGAACGCAGCACCTTAGACCGCTCGGCCATCCTGACCTCTGGAATCTGCGCTTTTCCATGTCCTTTGGAACAGCCTGGGAAGTTGTCATGGATCCAGTGTGTCTTTCAAGTGTGTGGAGCACTTCCTTGGGCATCCAGGACTCTCCTCTGCACTCCAGCTGGGAAGCAACCGCCTGGACTCTGGAACCATCAGAAGGTTGTTGCTGGGTGGGGATCGGTCCCTGCTCCCGAGGAACAAGTGATGGGATGAGAGGAAAGAGCAGAAAATGCACCAGGGGATTTAGAGGTTTAGATTGGATATTAGGATAAATTTCCTCACTGAAAGGGTGGTCAGGCAGTGGAACACTGGCCAGGCTGTTCAGGGAAGTGGTGGAATCCCCATCCTGGAAGTGCTCCAACAGGCTTCAGTGTTCAAAGGTGCTCAAAAAGTGTGGATGTGGCACTTGGGGATATATTGTAGTGGTGGACACAGTGATGCTGCATTAACCATTGGACTTGATGATCTTAGAGGTCTTTTCCTACCTTAATAATTCCATGAGAAGACCTGGAGTTCTCTCCTTCCTCCCCCATCACTAAGTGAAGCAAGAGGTAAACAATTAACATGGGCTAATTAACCAGTGAAATACCAGAAACCAGCAGAATTAAGGAGGGAAAAAAACCCCAAAGAACCACCAGAATGACAAATTAAAAAAAGATACACTAATTTCTGGCATATTCCTTTACCTCTGCCAGCTCCTTTCTTTCACTTTCTCCTCTTTTTTTTTTTTTTTCCTTTTCTCTTTATAAAGTGCTGGAATTTTTCCAACAGTCTTTAGACAAGTTGACGCTGACTTATGTCTGTGTGTGTGCAGGAATGTGGCTTTCCTCTCATCCCAACCTCATCCCAGCTTCCCAGAAATGCTCTGAGCTTTTGAGAGGGGCAGCAGAACAGCAGGACTTCTCTAGGACAAGAGAAAGGGCTGAGGAAATGCACTTTCAAAGGAAAGGAGAGATTTTTTATTCCAAGACAAAGTGAAATTGTGGTAAGGGATAAATCTTTCAGAGTGGCAGGAGTGGCCAGCAAATTATAGAAGAGGAAGAAAAAACCATGGAAAATAAATATTGTCGTTTATGCAACATATGCTGGGTGTTGGAAATAAATTATCTTTAAAGTCCCTTCCAACCCAAACCATTTTATGATTCTATAATTATCTATATACATACATATATACACCATTACAGAGGATTTTTCACTGAACTGTTATAACTGTATCACTAGAGGAACACTTTAGCATCCTTATTAACTTTATTCTGCTAAAGAATTTCCTGAACTGGTGAGGGAATAGGTTCAGGATGTCTATAATTATCAGCTGCTTCTGCCCACATTCCTGGCTGATAGAAAATTATTAATCTTGAGCCCTGGCTAATGGGCCATGTTGGGAGACAGAGGAGATTTGCTCAGGCTTGGCACTGCAAATCCCCAGCCTCCTGTGAAAATCCACAGGTTTTAGCGGATGCAAAGCACTGTGTCATCCCTGCCCATCACAGGGATGTGGCCTTAGGGACATGACCTTTGTCATGGGAGACAGCAGGGGCAGAGAAGGGAATCAAACAGCAGAGAACTGAGTATCAACCCACCACCAACCCAACGTGCCTCCTGGCTTTGATTAATTTAAAGACAGATATGAAAGAAAAACCCTATGAGGAGCAGCTGAGGGAGCTGGGGGGGCTCAGCCTGGAGAGGAGGAGGCTCAGGGGAGACCTCCTCACTCTCTGCAACTCCCTGACAGGAGGGGGGAGCCAGGGGGAGTTGGGCTTTTCTCCCAGGACAAGGGGACACAGCCCTGAGCTGTGCCAGGGGAGGTTTAGGTTGGACATCAGGAAGAAGTTCTTTGCAGAGAGAGGGATCAGACCTTGGAATGGGCTGCCCAGGGAGGGGGTGGAGTCACTGTCCCTGGGGGTGTTGCAGCAGAGCCTGGACGTGGCACTCGGTGCCATGGGCTGGGTGCCAAGGTGGGGTTGGGGCACGTGTTGGACTCGACGATCTCAGGGGTCTTTTCCAACCTTGTTGATTCTGTGATTCTGGGATTCTGTGAAAAAGGGCAGGAGGGAAGTCAGAGGCCCTAAGTGTTGACTTAAAAGGTGTTCAAGTTCCTCGAGCTCTTTGGGAACTGATGGCATCTGGCTGTGGGTGGACACCGGTGACTAAGGAAAGGTGTTTTGCAGAGCTCCAGCTGGTGAGGAATGAGCTGTGCGAGGGAAACACAAAGCCAAGGGGTTTCCATTGGGTAAACAGTCTGTATTTGGAATGCTTTGTATGAGAATAAACAGCCTGCCCAAAGCAACCTGCCAACTTCCCATCAACACTGTGTCCTTTTAAAGCACTTTTTTTTTTCCTTTTATTTCTAACAGCTTCACATCCTCCCAGGCAAGATCGTGTGGCAGTTTTGGAATCAATGAGGCATTTGGCATTTCCCTCTCACCTTGCCTGCCTTTGGGTTGGCACAGCTCCACAGCCCAGGTTTTGTGCCTGTGGATCTCTCTTGTTGGAATATTAAAACAAATGCCACCGTGGCTCATCCTGGCTGGAGGGAGGAGAGGGGGCAGGGAAGTCTCTGTGGCTCATCCTGGCAGATGAATCATGAACTCAGAGGGAGATTTTGGAAGGTCAGGGCAGCCACCACCTACTAAGAACAAGGGCAGAGCCACAATCCAAGGCCAGGCTCCTTCACTAAAGGTCACTCACTCAGGGAACATCCCCAGGGACCTCTGTACCATCCTGATCAGTACAAATACTGGAATATACTTTAAATACTGATCCCATGCCCAGCAAGTGGCATCTTTAGGTGGGAGAGAGGCCAGAGCTCTCATGTCCAATGTGAAAACCCCTCCTTTGATTACTGAGGCTTTGCAGGTCTGAGGGTGTCACACTGTTACCCCCCAGCAGCTTGGGAAAGTCCAAGAAAAAAACTGCCATTTAGGAGTTGGAGCTATTAAACTGTATTTTTGTAGGCACTCTAAAATTTACACTGAGATAACACAGGTTATCACGCAGAGGGGAAAGCAGAGGGGCAGCACTGATCTCTTCTCCATGGTGGGCAGTGACAGGAGCTGAGGGAATGGCTGGAGCTGTGCCAGGGGAGGGTTAGGTTGGATATCAGGAAAAGGTTCTTCCCCTAGAGGGTGGTTGGGCACTGAACAGGCTCCCCAGGGCAGTGGGCATAGCACCAAGGCTGCCAGAGCTCCAGGAGTGTTTGGACAATGCTCTCAGGCACATGGTGGGATTCTTGGGGATGCTCCTGTGCAGGAACAAGAGCTGGACTGATGATCCCTGTGGGTCCCTTCCAACTCAGGATATTCTATGATTCCATGTTTCCAGGAGTGTGCTGGCCCTCGAATTATCAGAGTGATCAAAAATATCCTATTTCTACCAGGGAAGTGTCTCCATCCAAGCTGCTTCAAGTGGAAGGCAATGGTGAAGGAGCCAAAGGAAGGCAATTCCACAGGATCACAGATGACAGGTCCATGAATTTGGTGATGACCAGCCCAAGGACTGTTTGTGAGCTGTGGCTCCTAAACGAGACTGTCTAACGCCCCATCCCACTGCATTTTGGAAATCTCCAGTGATGAGGACTCCACCACCTCCCTGTGGAGGTTGTTCCACTGATTGACTGAAAAAATTCTTTGTTATCTCAAGATGAAAACTTTCTGAGATGTCCACATTCAATTCATGCTCCCACTGCTTGGCAGAAATATGTGACTCTAATTAGTCAATGCTCATTAAGGGAAAGACTTTATTTCAGAAGACGCCCTTAATTTTTCACTCATTATTTGGGGGCAGGGGGAGCAGGAGGTTTATTTATTTAATTATCTCAGACGTAGGGGACTTTAAGTGCTCATCAAGAGGTGTCATTAAGCCAAAGGCACTTGCTCCAGGCACAGATCTCCAGAGTGTGAGAAGACAAGGGAGAGGCTGATTGGTCACAGCCTGGAATCATGGAAGGGGTCCTTAAATCCCAACCCTGTGCAAACCAAGATGCAGAGGAGTTTTCCTTTGGAATAAAAAGGGTTTGTACACGGCTTTAGCCGAGTGGGAAGTGCCAGAGGCCCCTGTCTGCACTGCTGCCCATCCCGACATCCCCAGGGTGCCGGGATGTCGCTTCCAGACTCTCAGCGGAGGAGCGGGGACAGCAGCTGGACCGCTTTGTCTGTCCATGAGCACTGCTGCCCTCTCCCGGCTCCAAAGCAGATAAAACCAGAGGAATTCGGCTCGGGAAGGACGGGAACGGTAGCAGAGAGTGCAGGAATACCGGGCGGGGGGGGGGGGGGGGGGGGGAAGATGCACAACCCGCTGACGATTTTGGGGCAAATCCACGCTACCTGCAGATGCTCCCTCGAAATCCTCACAGCCACTGAGGTCCTGCAGAGCAGCTCCTGCTTCCCGGGGTTTTGTCACTCTGTAGGGATCATGGAATGGTTTAAGTTAGAAGGGACCTTAAAAATCATTCCGTTCCAATGCCCGACCATGGGCAGGGATGCCACTCATTATACCAGGTTGCTCCAAGCCACATCCAACCTGGCCTTGAACACTTCCAGGGATGGAGCAGCCACAGCTTCTGTGGGCAAGGCGTGGCAGGATCTGTCTGTAGAGGGCACCCAGGCTATTCCTAGCTGGGGAAAAAGGGATTTCAGGTGTTTCTTCACGAAAATCAGACTTTTTTTGACCTTCCACAGATTTGCTGAAGGTTTTGCACCCCCGTCAAGCCACTGTGTGCCCCAGAACACGTGTTCATACACTGACAGGGAGGCTGTGTTGGCACCTTGGGCCATAGCTTTGAGCCCAGCCTGTCTCCATCCTGCTCCCTGAAACAACTTCTTTGTCTCCCAAGCTAAAGTCAACTAAAGGCTGCCCGAAAAGGCTGAAAGATCATTATATTTCAACAGGTTTTGTGCCAATGGCAGCCCCCGCAGGGCTGAAGTAGCTCAGCTGGGAGAGCGTTAGACTGAAGATCTAAAGGTCCCTGGTTCAATCCTGGGCTTCGGCAGGGTTGTCCTGCCCTTTTATGTGCCCAGGGCTGGGATTCCAGTACAACAGACACATGGACAGGTGGGAGAGAGTCCAGCAAAAGCCCAGGAAAGTGATCACAGAATGGGAAAGGTTGGAAGGGACCACAGAGGGTCATCTGGTCCAACCTCCCTGTTCAAACAGAGCACAAGACACAGGATTGTGTCCAGATGGTTCTGGAATATCCCCAGTGATGAAGACTCCACACCCTCTCCGGGCAACCGGTTCCAGTGCTGGGTCACTGCCCAGCAAAGAAGTTCTTCCTCATCTTCAGGTGGAACTTCCTGGGCATCAGTTCCTGCCTGTTCCTCTTGTGCCGTTGCTGGGCCCCTCCGAGGAGAGCCTGGTCCATCCTCTGCCCCCTCCCTGCAGACACAGACAGACAGGGATGAGGTTCCCTCTCAGCAACTCTTTTTGGGACTGAACATGTCCAACTCTTTCAGCCTTTCCTCCCAAGAGAGATGCTCCAGTCCCTCTATCATCCTTGTTCTCCTTTTCTGTTGTTCTCCTCTCTGCTGAATCTCTACAATTGCAGGCCAAGGGCTAGAAGACCAAACAAAATGAGCTGGCATTTGTTCTCAATCCTGAATCCAAGTGTTTTACAGAGATTCTGTCCATATGGACAAACTCTCACCCTCCTTTTCCCCCTCAAACTGGGGACTCATATCCCTGTCAACTCCTGGGACTCATCTGGCTAGAGCCAACTTACAAACTAGGCCAGAACATCAACAGAGAGAGCTTGACAGGAAAAAAAAAAACCTTGCAAAACACCCTGAAAGTTTTTCTTCCAGTGCTGGAAATGTGGAAAGTCTTACTTGGGTCTGACAAGATGTTGGCTCAGAAAAATCATACATTTGCTGAGCTGTGAACATGATTCCCGGGGAAAATGTGCTCACTCCTCAACTCACGTGGCATCTTCACATGGAACTTCAGGTGGATCTGTGAGTCCTTTGGAAGAGAGGATCTTCCAACAAACTGACCTCGTGCAGGCAACTTGAATAACTCGGTCTTGGAAAGCCCTCAGCTGAAAGTCAAAGGGGTGAAATTCTCTCCCTCACCTTTCTTTTGCAAGGAGAGAAATACCAGCAATATTTGAAAATAAGCAGACAGCTCCACTAAACATATTTTTATCTGAAGTCAAGCAACTAATGCAAAGTATCCCCCACACACTTGAACCCTGCTGGAGGAAGGCCAGTCCAAAGGGAAGACAGTGCTTTAAAATAGAAGAGAGGCAAGTGGAGAAATGGTAATTAATCACGTGAAGAACGAAAGAAAAATCAAAGGTCAGTTCTGAAAACTGAGGAAAGCATCCAAAACCAATTAAAGAACTCTTAGAGTCTGAAGCCCTTTGTGTACGAAGTCTGCATCTCTAGATGAGTCATCTCTCCAGCCTGCAAACTTCATATTTTTCCTCTCCCAGTGCCTTTCCAGGAAGGTGCCTTCACCAATCCCAAGCACAACTTCTCCCAGCCCACCTGCTCCTTCGAGCAGTTTGGAAAAGAGGGGACCAAAGTTATTCCTGCAGCGGATACGAAGACTTGGAAGAGCTGCAGAGGTGCCTGTGTCTAATGGTGGGTCAGCTGAAGCCAAACCCATCTCTCCTTGGGTTTTCTCCTTTACTCACCAGCCCACAGCAAATGCCAAGTGCTGCTGTTCCTGGCGGAGCTGCCGACAGTCGTGATTCCTCGGAGCTGAAAATAGGAGCAGTGCTGGCAGCAGCTGATGCTTTTGCTCACAGCTCCCAACTGAGTGGGCTCCCTCCAGAAAGCAGATGGCCAGGGAGGAACTCCAGCAATTTGCTACAAAACAGCCCCAAAGTCCCCCTTCTCCCACTGCTCTGAGAGCTCAGCATTTCATGACATCTAGTGGGCAAGGTAGAAACTTGTGCCGAGAGGAATCCCTTGGAATGCAGCGAATGAATTGGCCCCAGAGAAGGAGAGAGGTGGAATTAAAAAAGGAAATAAAAAGGGGAAAAAAAAAAAAAAAAAAGAGCTGATTTCCTCCTTTGAAACGGAGTTACAATCCCAGCAGAAACTCCAGAGAGAGACAGGGAAGGAAAACAACATTATGGAGAGGGCAAGTGGGCAATGATTTGAGAAAGATCAGACACCAGGTCAGTCCAATAAAGTCAATTATATTCAACTCCAGCCCTTTTCTTCAGCAGTTTCTCCTGCCTCCTGAGGAGGAGGAAACCTGAGCTCTCTTAGCAGGGACATCACCCAGAAGTGCCAGAGAAAGGAGAAAATTTCCTCAGAGAAACCTGTGGATCTATTTTATGAGGAAACCAGGAGTTATCTAACAGGGAAAGTGTGACACTGGAACATGTCACCGAAGTGTGAGATGTGAACCCCTCAGGACAAGAAAGACGTTGAGGGGTTGGAGCGTGTCCAGAGATGGGAATGGAGCTGGGGAAGGGGCTGGAGCACCAGGAGCAGCTGAGGGAGCTGAGGGGGCTCAGCCTGAAGAAGAGGAGGCTCAGGGGGGACCTTCTTGCTCTCTATAACTCCCTGATGGGAATTTGGAGCCAGGTGGGGGTTGGTCTCTTCTCCCAGGTAACAAGTGACAGGATGAGGGGAAACACCCTCAAGTTCCATCAGGAGAGGTTTAGGCTGGATATTAGGAACAATTTCTTCACTGAAAGGCTGGTCCAGCCCTGGCACAGGATTCTGAGGGCAGTGATGGGGTCCCCATCCCTGGAGATGTTTAAAAGATGTGTAGATGTGGCACTTAAAGACATTGTTTCATGGAGGACTTGGCAGTGCTGGGTCAACAGTTGGACCTGATGATCTTGGAGGTCTTTACCAAGCTTCTGTGTTTCCAGATTCCTTATTTGGGCATCAGAGATAGGCTGCAAACAACTAAAATCACCTGCCCACTCAGAGTTTCAGAGCCATTTTAGATTCATCTTCCCTGGTCTAGACTATATCCTTAGGATGAGGTACCTTGTTTATTAAAATGACCAAATTCCCTCAATTCCCTTAAAAATAACCTACCTCTATCCATTCATTTGGAGGAACATGTCAACATCTGGCCAGATGAAACCCATCTCAATGGACCAGAGCATCCAGATCTACCTGTTCTTGGGTTCTCTGCAAGCTTTAGCACAGGGCCCTGCTGTCTTTCACTGAGATATTTGCAGAACTCAACAGATGGAAAAGAAAACACTGGAATTCAAGAGGGATTTGCAGATTTGTGGCCCTCCAGTGTTTTGCAGTTGGGTGAGAGGGGAGAGATTAACCCTGATGCTGCCAGGGAGGTTTCTGAAGCCATGAAGGATGAAACCAGTGACAAGGTAGCACAGTGAAGCATGAGAGGTCCAGTTTTTTCAAGGATCCCACTGTGTGTTCGTCACCTGCTGGGCTTTCTTTTTCCTGCCTGTTTTTATCCCTGTATGTCTAAATACCCCCTCTCCCTTTCCAGTGGCTCTAAGACACACCCCACCCTTTCCTTTCCTGCTCAGAGAATTACTTACCCCATTCTCCATCCTTCTGTGAGGAGCAGAGTGAATTTATTCAAGTTGCAAAAGACAACTTTTGTTGCCTCTGCCCAAAGATTTTCCTCCAACCACCTAACTGAAAATATCCCAGGAGCTCCTGTTTGCTTTCAGAGATCACCTCACTGATTACTGCTGTGTTGCCTTGCTTTGCTTTCCTGGCTGTGTCTTCCCAGAGCTGTTTCCATTCCAGGATTTCTGACTCGTGGAGGAAAAGGAAAAAAAAAAATAAAGAAAAAAACTTTCTCCTTTGAGCCAAGCACAAATTAGGCAACTGAGCAGACAGAACTGATCCAGGGGAGAGTGGATTTGTAATCTAAATTACCATAGAATAAAAGCACCATCCACCCTCTGTTCTCTAATTTAAACATTGTTTCCCATTCTTCTTCCCTTTCTGTTAGACTAATTTGGTCTGAGGGCAAGGAAATCTCATTTGCATGTTTTAGAGGACATTAATTACAAGTCCTTTCCCTTCAAGGCCTGGTACTCCCGCACTGACTGGGAGCTCAGTGTGTCTGCAGCCCTGGCTCCTCAGGGGGCCCTTAATTATTGAGCCCATTGAGCTGTACCTGAGTAATGAGCTCAGGAGTGAGAGGTGCCTCCCTGGGGGTCTGGCTGGAAGGAGAGGAGGGGCACTGGGAAGGGAATGAACCACAGAGCAGCAATTCCAGTTTGGGAGATGTGAGTGTGAGAAGGACAGAGCAAGTGTCACAGAAGCATAGAACCATAGAACCAGAGAATCATAGAATCATGGAATCACAGAATGGTTTGGGTTGGAAGGGACCTTAAAGATCACTTAGTTTCAACCCCCTGCTATGGGCAGGGACACCTTACACTCGACCACGTCGCTCAGAGCTCCGTCCAACCCGGCCTTGTGCACTTTCAGGGATGGGGCAGCCACAGCTCCTCTGGGCAACCTGTGCCAGGGCCTCCCCACCTTCACAGGAAGAACTTTTCCCCTGATATCTAATCTAAACCTAGTCAGTGTGAAACTATTCCCCCTTTTCCTGGATTATCAGGCTTTATTGGGTGGTGAGGCCCCGGTACAGGTTGCCCAGAGAAGCTGTGGCTGCCCCTGGATCCCTGGAAGTGTCCAAGGCCAGGTTGGACGGGGCTTGGAGCAACCTGGGCTAGTGGGAGGTGTCCCTGCCCATGGCAGGGGGTTTGGAATGAGATGATCTTAAAGGTCCCTTCAAACCCAAACCATTCTACAATTCTATGATTGAAGTGCCCTAATCCTGTCCCAGATTCCCTGTCCCACAAAGCCTGGAATCACCAGATTCAGGACTCCAGTCAAGGTCTGGTTTTGGCCTTGCCATGACAGAGGGTTGTTGACACCCCAGCATAAAATGCCTTGAGCATCCCTTCCTCACCCAGGCCTTCTGCTGCTCTGACACATGAAATTCAGGATGCAGTTTGTGCCATAAATTCACCCATGGTAAATATTTGGAGTCTTTTCAGGGTTATCAGTCACCAAATCTGAGGAGTTGGTGGCCTCAAGCACCATTTCAGCTGTGATGTTCCACATCCCAGTGCTGGTGACTATTTCTTACCTGACCTCTTGCATCGTGTCATGCCAACAGTCACCTCTTGTGTCGTGTTCTGTCTGTCCAAAACCTCTGAAGAATTTGTCCAGTAAGGAACAATTTGTCCTACTTTTTTTTCCTGCGGTCACCCTTCTTAGCTTTGTATCTTCTGGGTTCCACTCTAAGGTGAGGAAAGGTCTTGAGAGCAGGTTTAAGTTTCACCATAATATTTCCATTTTCCCCCCACATACCTGGAGTTTCCACCTGGAGCTGCTCAGGCTCAGAGGTTACATTTGGGTTGGTCTGTTAAAAATTACCACCTCTGGTCTCCCCTGACACGTAATGGCTTTATGATAACCCTATTTTTCTTGAAAAACAGGGTATTCATGTACAAATTTCTTCACCCATATCATACCCTGGAATTAAGACAGTGTTAACTTATCAAGGCACAAAACCCAACCAACCAAACATGAAATGGGTCACTCCAAAAGTATAATAGAGCAAAAGATTGACTTCTAGACTTTGGGAACATCAGTTGAACTCTTCTTACAAAGTGTTTCTTGGGATGAACTGGGCTGAGTTCTGCTCCCCTTGGATGATCCAGATCTTATAAATGAGTTCGGGCTCATTTTGAAGCACAAAAATATTCAAGCTCTCCTTTTCCTGCAGAGCTCCTGGGCTCTGGTTATTAAATCCTTCAGTGATGCTGGTGTGGAGTGGGTGAGTCTGGACCTTAGGCTGGATCTGGAACCCAACCTGACCCAATGTGTGGATTTTTGTGCTGTAGGTCATAAGAGATTTCTGTTCCTTGGGAAAACAGTCCCATCTGAAAAGTTCCCTCTCAGCACCTTGATCAAACCATTTGGGAGAGAGGCCAAGCCAGATGGAAGGTGTCCTTAGAGGTCACCAGCTCAATCCCCAATTTAAAGAGGACCTGTTCTTCCTGTGCTCCATTCTCCTCATTAGAAAGTTTTTCCTGAGTGTTTGGTGCTGCTGACTCCTGCCAATCATCCTCCAGAAGATGACAGGAGGCTGGATTTGCTCCTCAGTGCATCTGTCTCATGGCACTGACAGCAAACCCTGCATGTTATTTCCAGAGGTTTGTTGTGGCAGGGAGGGGAGGGCTGGGGGCTATTTGTGTGGCTGTCTGTGAACAGCAGTAAAATTTAAGCCTCTGCTGTGTTTTATTTATGGGGTGTTTCCAGATGCCGAGCGCGGAAATCATTTGCTTAATAAATAATCCAAATAAACAGACTTTCCAAGTGCCTCGTGCTCACAGCTCAGACAGCCACACACTGAGTGACAGCCTGCCAGGGAGCTGGAGGCTCTGGAGCATCTCTGTTTTCATGGAATCGTTAAGGTTGGAAAAGACCTCCAAGATCATCAAGTCCAGCCTTTGACCGAACACCACCCTTCCCACTAAACCATATCCCCCAGTGCCACATCTCCTCATTTTTTGAGCACTTCCAGGAATGGTGACTCTGTCACTTCCCTGGGCAGCCTGTTCCAGTGCTTAACCACTGTTTCAGTGAAGAAATTTTCCCTCCTATCCAACTTGAACATCCCCTGGTGCAGCTTGGGGCCATTTGCCCTCGTCCCATCACTTCCTACCTGGGAGAAGAGACAAACCCTCACCTCACCACAACCTCCTTTCAGGGAGTTGTAGAAAGCAAGAAGGTCTCTCCTGAGCCTCCTCTTCTTCTTTTTGAGCTCTTCCTCAGTAATGAGTGACTAAGGGATGGGCAATTCCTTTTCCAGCTGGAAAAGTTTTCCTCTTTTTTCCAGAGACCCATCAAGTACCACAGGGGACACTGAGTAGCACATTACACTCAGTGCTGCAAGATGTGGCTTCAGTGTCTTTAGGCAGTGGAGTTACCTTGGGAAAGTTATCCAGGGTACTAAAATCTGGGAGATTTAACAACCATTGTCAAACACAGGAAGGGGCTGCCCAGGGAAGGGGTGGAGTCACCATCCCTGGAAGTGTTAAAAGCCACATGGATGTGGCACTTGAAGATTCAGTGGTGAACAAGGTAGTGGTGACAGTTGGACTTGATGATCTCAGAGGCCTTTTCCAACCTTCTTGATTCTATGATTTGAGCTGATCCTCCGGGACCCTTTAATTGGCCTGATCATTATTTTCTGGAACTGTTAGATGTGTTTCAAAGGGTCCTGCATGTCTGTAGGAGGGGCTGGATCTCCTCTTGGTTCTCTGTCCTGTTGACCAGCAATATGTTGATGTATTAGACTAAATTTCAATAAATACTAGTGACAAGGATCACACTCAGTAGAATGCAGAGAACTAGATGACCTTGAAGGTCCCTTCCAACTCAAACCATTCTGTGATTCTATAATTTATCTCATCCTAAATTAGACATGGACATTCCCATTCCCCCAGCTCCGCTCAGTTTGTTAATTTGATTGTCTTTAACCGTAATGAGAATGAAGATAATTAACCAGATGCAAACAACTAAGTCCCAGACACCCAAAGCTGTGCAGATGAATCCCACTCTTCACCTGGGCCTCAATTTCTTAGCAAGAAGAGGAGATTAATCCCACTTTTTTATCTTGTAAGGCTAAAGAAAAATGTCAGGATATTCAACAGCAGGAAAATTAGGTCAGCATGTGAGAACTTTCCTCTGCTGTGGCTTCATGGCACTAGTTGGGAGAACACCCCAGGTCTGGCTAAGATTAGGCAGATAAAAACAGATTTTAAGGCATTTCTTCCTCCTCACATTCTCATCCTGGACAGAGTTTCAGAGCAGAGCTTTTATTCCCTTCTGTCCCCTCGGAGAGAACATTGTTTCTCCATCCATATGGATGAAGAAAGAGTCATGTCAGCAGCAGAGTGACAGGAGGAAATGGATAATAAATGTTTTTACATGAGCTGTTCTAGCTCTTGCTGCAGTGGAATCATTCCAGGAGACAGCAGCAGCACAAAGTGATTTGTAAGAGAATGTCCTGGGACACTCAAAACCAAAACATGTGTTAACACAGGGACAGGAGGACTTTAAATGCTTCTTTTTAAAATCTTTAAAGTTTAAAGGAGTGTGGGACAGAATAAGGAGACAGAGGTTGCTGAGAGATCCCTGAAAAAGTGAAGGATAGCAGAGAGAAAGTAGGAAGAGTGAGGAAACAAAAATAGAGGACTTTTTTCTTCTATAACATTTGTGTCTAGTGTGTAGCCTTTCTTCTTCTGTTTAAGTTAAACTTCCAGAGTCCCCCAAAATGGAGGAATGTTCAGCGCATCCAGTGGATTTTATATCCAAAATTCAACATTCACTGGCTCCAGAGGAAGCCTTTGGTGGCCAGTTCAGATGGAACCTCTACATAAAACAGAATAGTTTAGGTTGGAAATCACCTTTTGACGAATCTCATCCAAAACTCTGTTCCAAGCAGGGCCAATAGCTTTTCCAGTCGAATTTTTATATTGCCAGGAGATGGGATCCATCTTCTCTACATCCTCCCCTTAAGGAGTTTCATGAAGTGATAAGATCTTCCCTCACCCTGAGTCTGAACATACCTTCTTCTCCCACCTTCTCCTCCTAAATCCTCATGGTCCAGCTCTCCCAATCATCCTGGCTGACCCAGCCCAGTATCCCAGTGTGTTTTTTGAGCTGGAGAACCCAAATAGGTCACACTGCCCATGTTCCTCCTTTGATCCATAAGCAGCAGTAGGTCAGGAATGTGTCTGAGTCTTTCCAGGATTATTCCAAGTCAAGGATGTCGCAGTGGAAGATGTGACCAGTTCCTGGTGTCTTCCCTGCCCTCCTGGCCTTGTCTAATTCCTGGCAATGAACAGCAGCTCCTGTTGACAGTGCCATCAAAAAGGCCAAAAACCTTTTAAAATGTGCTTATAATTAATTTTGCAAGTCCCTTTAATACATGTTCATTATCACTTGCCCCCCCTGACACAGGTTAAAACCCGAAGGAATTGAAATTAGTGGGTGTTTTAAGGATCATTCATCACTGATCAGCAGAAGCCACAGGATGTGTCAGGAGCAGTTTCCTTCACAGCGGGAAAGAGAGGGAAGAGAAAGTTCACATTTTAAACTTCCACTTCAATAGACTTAAAAGCCAGATTACATCGAAATAGGTGGTTTTTCTCTCAGCTTGAGACCCGAATGCAGAACAAAATAATTCGATTTTGTATTTGGAGGCACATCCCACGGAGT